TATATGCAGCCATAGTAACATGCATGCGTTGAAAATGTATCTTGCTCGGCAGGAAAAGTTCAATAACCATTGCTGGCACAGTCTCTGTCGCGGACAAGGACGAAGGAAGAAAAGACAAATTAGACGATAAAGGGATATCACCCGTTCCACAGACGCGAATAGCCACTGAAAATGTGAGGAGTGCTGATATGTTTATAGAATGCGCATGCAAGCTTGTGTATTCGATTTTGATTACCTATATGTCTCCTGATTCCTTTCGCGCTACTATAGCTCTTTTCCTCAGTAATCTGTTACACTGGTAACCAGATGTATTCGAATGCGGTTGCAACTGTGTGTGTTTGCGAATATAGTTATGGTTCGGATGGGCACAGCTATACTGTTATGCGAGCAACCGTCTCTATTTGTCTGTAGTTTGTGACTTATATAATCAGTCACAGGTGTAGTAACCTGGGGGGGTTTTTTGGCACCCTTTTACTCGCGCGCATCGAGGTGTGCATGTACCGTCATACTCTGAGTTTTACCCCAGCTCTCACTCTCTGACTCATCTCATCTATTTCACACATATCTATTCACATACATACCTACATGCTACCAGATATGTGTATATATGCTATGCTTGTGTCCCGCAGACTCACACATATACATATGTATCATATATGTACGACTATCGATTTGAAACATAACGTCATATCTGGCGGTTCCCTCTGTCTGACTGTTATAACTTATCCATTTGCCCATACCTATGTATATCGCAGGATAGTTTAGAATCGCCGGTTTCGCCGCAGTCAGGCACTCGCGCGGCAAGATCGCCATCACAGTAAGTGCTATGTTTAAGATTGTGCTTTCTACCATGGTGGTGCCAATGTGGGTTCACCTAACCTGGAACACGCGTGTGCGTCAAATTATAATGATCCTTTACGTTTATCTGTGCGTGCGTCGCTTTTTTGCAGTATTTTTCTCCATTGGTTCTTGTATCCATACCAACCCGGTTTGCCTTTAGCCTTTGTATTCTGCATCAAGCATATTGAGCATATATTGTAGTCCTGCCGCGTCTCCACATCGTCAGTTCTATTGTCTTCCAGGACCCCTGATCTTCTTCTGCTAGGTGTTCTTACAAATACGATATTCCCTCACACCCATAAAGTTGTCCTTGGCTGCTCTCCCAACCCGATGAAACGCGCTGGGTTCTCTTGAGACTTACCTTCTGTCACCATGCCTCCCCATCCCTCTTCATACTGCATTCGTTTGTGTATGCTTTCTGTCAGACCCCTACGACATGCCACTCATGACCATGAGCTGCACCAACTGAGCCAGCGTCTGTTCCAACATCTCAATGCCGTTCCCATTCTACCGCCGCACGGTCATTCGCGGCAGAACAGCTCAGCACGTCTGGCCGCGCCGTATTTAGGTACGTTGTGTGTGTATATATTTGTGTAAATTTATCTCTATTTGTATTTATATCGATATTGTGCATTTATTTATACTTTTCCAAATGATGCTTTTCGTATCCACCAGATATGTAGGTATTACTGCTGTCTCAGATCATTGTTTATCTGTACATACATGTTTACAGAGTTATATATTAAAGATCGACGTATTCAGTCATAGCCCGTAATTTATCGGAGTGTGAAATATATAGGCAGGGATGGACTACTTAACTAGTCACAGATTGTGGCGACAAATATTTCGATTGGTATATAGTTAATTACTTTTCAAATCTGATCTAGAGCAGCAAATTCTTTTTGAATTTAGGAAGTAGATTTGGATTTGGGTTTGTGTTTTGGAGGTGGATTTTATGCGTGTATTGCGGATGTTTCACCATTTACCCACTGACATCTAATTGCAACTAGAAACCCTGGAGTCTCTCCTCGCAAAACTGTGATGTTTATCACATGTCTACATCTTTCTGAATGTGATTTTTGCGATGTTTCCATCTCTCTGGAGTCTGCCGTTCGTTAGCATTCTTTATAGTTTCAAGGTGCGTCTGCCCCGTGACTGTACACATCCAGACAACTTTACCTGCCTATACTAGCACTCGATTTTGTATACTTGTCTTTAGCCACTGTGATGACCTAGACGTTTGGATGTATTCCGAACGGTATGAAGCTGTTCATCGTCATTATCGAATTCACACCACAGTTGACGTATTTCAAATATATATATAGGGGCGTCATCAGCGGACGACATACACATCAATCGACACAGAGATACATCCGTTTCGCCGCGACGCAACGAACAAGCAAAAGTATCAAGTCAGAGTTTGATACTCGACACGTGGTCAACGCGGAACCTCTGAAGTATATCATTGATTCTAGTGAAATAAAATTCATCCATACTGGGATGTCGTGGAGAGCTTCGTTGATTCTTTTTTTCAAGTGTATTTTATATATATAGTTTAGGTTTTCTTAATTAGTGCGTACTTTAGATATGACACACTCGTAGCTGCACTGTGCGAATCCTTTATACATTAGAGGGGTAAAATTGCGACGGAGACGGTGACATTCGAGACTCTGTGTGGTGTATGCACACGTCTTGGGGTGCAATTAAACACGCATGCAGAAAAAATATCGCCGCGTAAGGAGAGGTGAGGTGATCGGCTATGAACGTCTCAGATGTAATTCTGGTGTTTTCAAATACGATTAGGTAGGTAGTAGCGCAAGTAGTGCCATTTTGAAGCACTTGCAACACAGCACTTTTGATTTGGAGCAAGAATCGTGACTCGGTCGAAGAAACGTTTCACTAAGCACATTGATAATTTTCTTGCAGTTAACATATTCCCCAGGTTGAGGCAAAATGGTCCGAAATTTAAAAACTTCGCAAAAATTCAGGGAGTACAATGTGACAGTTATTCACCGCATTGTGACACAGGAGTCTCTACGCAAATGAACAGCATAAATTTTTGACAAGTGTTGAACGGAGTGAAGTATTTTCCACTTCAAAGAAAAAAATCGGTTTGACGAGCCCTTGCACAACAAAAAAAACTTGTAGTTTGGCTGTCAAAGGGCCGCTAAGAACCAAGTCACGATTGGGTTTGAATATTGAAAACCGCACGTTGCGTGAGGAGTCAAAGAGCAGCATCCACGTGTAATCATTATCTTTGTCTTGTACGCGGAGATATGGGCCCGAATCCTCTTTGTTAACTTCAAATTATTGAATAGAACGAGAGGTATCAATCTCCGTCGACACTAGTTTTCCCCCCGCTTTAAAAAGTGCGGAATCAATTTTTTTTCATGAGGAGAAATTGAGTGACATATATCTCGGATATTTTTATTTATTTATGGCGTCTAATGATGAGAAAATATATTTTCCGCCACTGACGAGTTTGAACCCCTAAAAAAAAGGGAAATCTGATGTCGAAATCAAAAGATTTGCTAGTAGGCGCTATTAGTGATCCAGTCAAGAGGACAACACTGAATCTGCGATGCACAACATTCACTTTGTTTCACACGCAAATGTGCCTCTTGAGCTGATAAATGGATAGAATTCAGATTCGGGTCTATTTTAATAAAATACTGAAATGTTTTATGCACATAACTGAGCGCGAGATACAAAAAAATATCAGTTGGAGGTTTTATGTTTTAAAAAAAACATTTTAAGCTATAATATACGTGTCACGATTGTGAAAGATAGCAGATGTAACGTACCCTCAGAGGTAAATTTCTGTTTGAAAAGCAGTGCTAATACCATTATTGGTTGATATTGTGTACCTCATGTATCAATTTAGAATGCTCAAAAACTTTCCTCCAGGGGCGCAGGTATGTGCTGCTCTCGCCACGACTGTTCGAGATACTCTCACAGAGAAATCAACCACAGGTTAAAAGCGTGTCAGCACAACGCCCACACGTCCCCATCTAGAGATGGCGAGTAGGACGGGATCGTTGGTTGATTCTCCAGGAGGGCGAATAAATCGCCATCATGTGGGCCGAAGCAGAAGTCAACTAAGCAGAACCACATTTTCGCCAGCGTATATTCGGTTGTACATGACTTGGCTATGAGAACAAGCAACCAGTGTACACGCTTGTTTGTCTTCTTGGATGGGCCTCGCAAGAGGCTTAGCAAACCTGCCAGCGTTGTTGAAGACACCACTCGGAACGCTAGTACTGAGCATCTTGCTTCCACATGGCCACCACTAAGGCAATGCGATCAGTGTGGACTTCTAGTTCAACGGCAGACCGCTTGATGATGCGCCACAGCGTTTTCATGCCGTAGACTCGGGCCAGCCATTCTTTCCCTGTCGCATGATAATTATATTGGGCTGGCGAGAATCTCGAAGAGAAATATTTCACTGGTAGGAGCTGGTCGTCTCCGTGGACGTAAAAACAGCCGCCCACTCCAACGGATTAAAGCTTGTGCAGGTTCTATGCGTTAATTCAAAAGCGCATTGAATTTGCCAAAAACTAGTTGATGGTCTTCATCCCACCTGAAGATAAGCAATGGGCTTTAGGATTACTGCAAATCCTGGTACAACCGATTTCCAGTAAGCGACCATACGATGAGTTGGTATAAAGGTCGTAATCCGGAAGGTGTGAATATTTACCAGGGCTTCAAGACGTTCATTTGTGATCGATACGCCCCTGAAGTCAACTTGCTTTCCTAAGAAGGTGACAGTTCGACGAAATTGCGCAGTTTGGCACTTCTTAAGGCCCAATTGAATACCATACTACTTAGAGCGCTTGTGGACTGTAATGAGTGCTTCCCAGTACTCATCTGCTGTATCATTAGCGATGACGATATCATCAATGTAACAAATATCGTGCAGGAAGGCATCGAGTACTTCTGCAAGGACTTCCTGGGACCTTGTTCTTGATTTTTTTTTAAATACTTCATACGCACCCCAAGGAACTCCAAACTAGAAAAACCTAACCCCAGGGGGTTCAAAACGTATATATTTCGGGCGAACCTTCGACGAACTTCAACTGGTTGAAGCCGTTGTCATCGTCGAGGACCGAAATCTACGGCTTGCCAGTTACAAAGGCGTACATGTCTGACTCAATAGGGATCGGATACGGCACCGAGTCCACAGATTTCTTTCAGCGGCTGAAATTAGTGCAAAAGCGCCAATCACCTATCATTTCTGGTAATGGGGGCGGCTTCCTGCCAAGCTTCTTCCAAGCGATTTTGATATTGGTTTGCCATTTGTTGTTGGAGTACAATTCACGACGGAGGATCTGTACTGAACTAACTGAATAATCTTTGCATACGCTTCCAGCGTCTTTAGTGTAGAGGTACCAGTGTACTGCCTAAGGCGGCATCGCTTGGGTTGCGCTTTATCGAACAAATTCAAATTAATTAAGTCCAAATTAGCAAAGCAATGATTGTCCGGGTCGTAGGCAACTGAATAAAGAAACTCGATTGCTTCACCGATTGCAGCATTGGTCCTACTGGTTTCAGCGCCGAGGTTACTTGACGCTTGCTTCGCCATGCGACTCGTCGTCGTCCTCATTGGACCCGTATCCAAAGTCACAATTATCAGCACTATATCCATTTTTCCAAACTGATGGCAGGTCGACATTGTAGGTGATGTTTGGGTACAAGTACACGACTTGGTCAAAGGTCTTGAAAAAGTTGAGAGCGCTAAAGGATAGGCTGATTCCTTCATCAACTTGGTCTCAACCCCTCTGGCATCATCATCGAATCACTGAGTTTGTGGGAGACTAGCCGGGGAAGTCACACACATGTCACTCGCATCTACCGCCTAAATTGGCTGAGATTTTGCAGTCTCACTCGACAGGGAATTTCTTTTTGCCTGCAAGTTGAGTCACGACTGCCCCACACCACATGAGTGGGGGTGCAACTGTTACTATCCTTTATTCTCTGCTTAGGCCTGTAGCCGCATAGCTTTTGCTTTGTGCTGCTTTGCGCCCCCCTTCGCCCGTCGTTTCGACGGTCGCTGAGAGGTGTCCGTAGGCTGTACTGTGTGCCTACAGTGGATGCCACCAATTTATCTCTTCCATGGGTCTCGGGCTGGAATCGGGTTTTAGGGTTTTGTGATCCAAGTCGAATGCAGACGCCTAGCGCAAACTACATTGCGTCTTGGCGCCTCGTAAGTCAAGTATGTCTTAACGAGCCATGTCTAGGTTACTACCAATAGATATCCATTTATCGTCTAGTCGTCGATAGCAAGATCGACTTGTGGGGATGGTGTTTTAGTGTCTATCCTATATAGTTCATGAATCGGTGGTCCCGAATAGTGAGGTTTGAAGGATTAGTTTATTGAGTGCATTCTCATCTATTAAATTGTATGCGGAGCCAATATTCGTATAAATATCAACCTTGCAGTCATCTGCAAATCTGTGGACCACCGACTCATTTCAGAATCTGGGTTACTGCCTGGGGAGAGCTGCCACTGCCAAGTCCATACTTTTCTCAGGACAGTTTGCTGTTCCATGGCCTGGTTTGCCATATTCAAAGCAGTTGTTGTATTCGGGGCGGACAGGTGACACGGCTTTGGCGTCCGCCGGTGATGGTTTCTGCAAGTTGTCGTCACTAGGTGCATGAGAGGATAATAAAGTTTTTGATGAGGAACGGGCATCATGTTTGGGAGGAGAGTGAAAGCGTGCACGTCCTCTATCATTGTTGTAGCGGCCATATCTCTCTTTCTCCTCATCCCAATAACCTGTGTCTTGTTCACGACGATGGATTCCATCATGAGAACTTATTTCTCGTCAAAGTATCTCAGGCGATTCATCTCCTCACGCTGGGCTGGCTTGCGCTACTACTTGGGTATGGAGTTACTCCCGGCCTTGTGATTACCGTCAGTCATCAAGGCGGTTCTGCAGTCGACCCTGGGTCCTACTAGAAGCCCCCCTGTAGAGTGGAGTATGGAATTGGCGTGTCCAGTCCAAGGCCCCCGCGAGACCATTGAGTGCATAAATCGCGGCAGGCGAGAGAGTATAAAGCGTGTCTTTAAAGGTTCCTTTGATGAAGTCTTCGAGGCGTCGACCGCAACTTTGAGACCACTGAAGACTGCCTTTTCAAAGAACGGATGAACAGAGAAAGGGCAGATGATCTTGAGAGAAACATTGCCAGTGGCGATCTGCATTTCAGCACTGGTTCTTTTATTGCTACGCTTCTTTTGACAGTTTACAGGGCAAAACTGTGGTAAGGATAAGTTTGACACGATTCGGGGCATGGTTGGAGCCTGTTAAGCGCAGGGCACTTGCTGGTGCAGTAGTTTGTGCTACCGTCTCTGCGTGTAGTTTCCTCTCAGCTACACGACGGGTCTTCTTGTCCGCTGATGTCTCATTGGTTGATGGTTCACTCTATGGAACCACGGTGGTAGGCGGAAACAGGTCTGTACCCAAGGTACCTACAAGGAAGGACTTGTTTGAAAAATGCTGCAATTAAGGCTTGTCGAGGCAGCAACAAAATCAAATTGAGTGAAAATGTCCGCGCAGAACGAAGTCTTCCTTTCCAGTTGCGAATCAGAACTCGTTTGGTCTGCGTGCTCGTTTCATGCAAGAACCGATGCAATGGCGAAAAACGGGCAAGAATACGCATGAATGTATACGTGTGCGATGGGTTTCCGGGGCAGATTGCGGCCCGCTGAATCCCGCAAGACATCACTGAACAACATGCGCGTCATGGCTTCATGCACTTTCTCCGCTTGGGCCTCGTCTACACCTGTCTAATCCCGGTTCGTCTTGCGATTGTAGAGCCCGATGAGGACCGGCATCAAGAGTTGGCTCTTCTTTGCTTCATACACATCGATTCTTTCTCCCATAACAGAGAACTGTGTAACGGCTGGCATACTAGCAATAAAGCTGAACGAGATCGCGAAGTAAAAATAAATAAAGAGAGAAATAATTGTACAGGCAAGCAATCAAAACCTACTGACCATGTAAGGCGTTAAATCCACTCTAAACCAACTCGTTGATATTGTCGATAAGTTTGATGGCTACATCTATTTGCAACTAAAAGGAGTACCCACCGGCACCATGCTATGTTTAAATACCTAATCTTTGAGTAGTTCTCTATTCAGTATGGTAATTAAATACATACGCGTAAAACCTCTACCTTACATATATAGATGCTACACCTTGTGAACTTCCGTATACTTATACAAGAGCCTGCTATAATATTTCAGATCAGGGTAGAGCCGTTCGCGGGAAGTCTGTCCGAAATTATGCGGGCATGACGAAGACAGCGCGTCTCGCCACCAAGTGCGCTCGCACCACATGAGCCTCACACCAAAAACCCAAATCGGTATCTGTTATTATCAGCTCCGGCGTATAAGCATAAAAATTGGTGGACCGATTATCTTGCAACGCACACGAGATACTTGTATAAGAGTTGAATTCTTGTGGATATACGCACTCGAGTATGCGTAACTGTGTATGTCTGTATGTGTATATGTGTTTCACACAGCATTTGTGTAAATATTGCGCTTATAATTTCTATCAATTGATTGAAATAGCTATTACTTTTTCAGAGCAAGTATATATTTTGTGTAGATGGGGATATTTATACAAAAACACTCATAACTGAACAACGAGTTTTCTTGAATACATCCATTTAATCTCATTTTTATTGAATACATCCACCGTTGAGTTTCTCGCGCGACGCCGGGCCAACTGTAGCGTAGTGCAAATCTTCGCGAGAGCGGTGCATAATTGTATCGTTCACATCAGATCGACTATGCTGCATGGAGAAGCGTCTCCGTAGATTATCGCCGAAGCGATTGCGAACACTGGTATGTGAATCGGATATACTGAACCGGACCTGAACATGAAAAACACAGAAGTTTGATGGTAGGTCAGTTTTATTTGGCCTACTATAAAGACAACTGTGAAATACATAAGATCGCACCTGCGCGAAAGAAAGGCGACATCGTCATATTGTTTCAGCATTAGTTTTGCCTGATGTACAGAATGCTATGAAATGGTACTAGATAGCCACTTTTTCGAACGATGAGTGTTGGACGCATGAAACCACAATACCGCACTAGCAAAGATTGAAGTCTAAGAACGACAGAGTTAGGGTTCGATTCCGTTGAATATTCAAAATATTTTACATTAACTCGTACAGGAATTGAACAGGCTGAATCGCGACCGGGCAGATCAGAGGCAACAGGGTTGTCTACTTTTGTTAAGATATGACTTATTTTTATCGGTAAACTATAAGATTATTCATAAATTCAAGTAGAATACAGACTGATTTGACATAAAACAATGTAAATTTTCCCTGAAAATGAGTGCAAAATAGTAAATGTACATTTGCACAGGTAGTTATGAAATAATCGTATCCAAAAAACTAATTAATTCTGTTTTACAGAATCACTGCTTTGTGTTTCGGCTAGCTTAAAAAACTGTATGAATAAATAATATGGATGTATACAGTATA